CTAAAAGTAATTGCAGAAATGCTTGGAAAATGCTTTTTGGCAATTATTTGATAATGGTTGATATTTCAGATTCAAAACTCATATATATAATCATTCATATCACCTCGACCTAATATGGCATATGAGTAATCATGATGTACCATTCCCTAATCATAATGATTACTCGTAAAATATCGAAAAACTTAGAAAAGAATTCCATGGGAGAAACACTTCAAAGAAGCAAACTATACTGTGACCCACCTGGCAGGCAGACAGGGTGACAGCGTTATGCAACGCAAGAGCAGTACATGTCAGGGACCGTCTCAAAATATCAAGTGTCAGTATCACTGCTGGTCGAGGACTCTAGCGGAATTACAACAGGTGCAACTCCGCTGACGTTAACGCCGTCCCGCAGACGGTATTCGTCCTCGATTTTGAGAACACGGTCTTCAGCCTTTTGCCACACTTCTGGGGTAATTCTCGCAAAAGAAGCATACACAATCTCTTTAACGTCTGAAAGCTTGAATGTGGTATTATTGCGAGCAATAAAATTCTTACAGTTACCCCAGATCAGCTCGATGGGTTTGAGCTCACAGTGCCGTACTGGTGTACGCAGAACTATGTGGCCTTGTTTTGCAGCTATAGTTCGTCAGTGATGTACTGGATTGGCTTTTTGTGCTGCCGGACTTTTTCCATGAGCTGGGGCTTTGTTTCTGATTGCCTGTAAGGCACGTTAAAGGAAGTGAGAAATCCTGCAACTGAGCCTTGAGATTGCTCATGGTGGGTGTGATGGTACCAGGGACACGCAGGTTATGGTAACTGGCGTTATCCAAAATGATAACGCTTGGTTCGTCCAGTTGCGGTAAAAGCTGATGTTCGAACCAACCCAAAAATACCTGCCAATTCATTTCGCTATGGTAATCACCATCAGATTTCTTGACCTCAAAAAACAAAGTCACAACCCCCAATCAGTCCCCTGCTACGGGTACCAGCATGCAAGATGATCAGGCGTCTACCTTTGACTGATGGTAACACTGGTGCCTTAGAACAATCTGAAGGAAGCCACATCCGATCGGTTGAGTGGTTTTTATTACACCAAGTTTCATCAAGGTATATGATTTGAAACCCCAAATTGTATTCTTCAACTGTTCTGAGATAAGCTGATCGCATGGGCAGGGTTGTGTACTTTTCTCTAAACACAGCTCTGCCATCTCCCCTTTTGGTGTACCTGAACCCCATTCCTACCAGAGCTACAATAAGTGTTGTTTTCGAGACATTTATTGTATCTTTGATCTGATCTTGTATTTTAGCACACGTCGGTGGGATTTTGCGTTCATACAGTTTATAAACTGCACGGCATATGACACCCTTATCAAAGCAATCCAGTTTGTGTTTCCTACCTGGTTTTGATTTTGACACGACCCCTGAGGTAACTGATTTGTTTACAACTTTGTAAACCTGACTATATGTCAAATTAAGGGCTTTACACATTCTATAGTAAACCCTGTCATAGCTGACGAGAGGTTTCTCCCTTTGTTTCTCCAGTATGAAATACTGGTATAAATTTGAAATTAATTGTTCTGCAGAGATATCAAGTCGCATGTTGCCAGTTCAATGCTCATACACGAAGTGAAACGTCTATGGGTCAACAAGATTATCTATGCGATTTGAATTAAGACTTTTTTACGTAATTATTTTGAATATAACTACTACAAGAGTTTCATCTTTTCCACACATAGAAAAAAATAATAATAAAAATTTACAATCATTTATGTAATTTAATTAGTTGAGGCTACATGAATAATTATAGTCTGTATTTCAAAACAACAGTTTGTACTTTACGAATATTTACGAATGTTGTTAAAACGTCAAAATTTCCTCCTGTGAAGTCACCCCTCAAGTGCATTTTTTCATCTGAGCTTTAATATCCAACTAGGTAGAGTCGTACATGTATCATATTTGTGCTTTTATCTTGTGTCAAATTCATCATATTGATATTGAAGCCAAAAAGCATTTTCCAATCATTTCTGGCCTTACTTTTTTTTTTAGAAATCAATGTATGGTACGCCTAAAGGGTCAACCTAATCGTACCCTTAAATTATAATTAAGTTATGAATGTCGAGGCCACATGGGTGTTGGGGATACTTTTTGGCATAGTTCAAGATATCTATGATTATGCAAGGAACCTTTCCTGTTAATGTACCGGGGTTACGAAAGATTGGTTAGTTAAATGCCAGTAACGTTCAGCAATATTCCAGCTATATGGCGGCGGTCTGTAAATAATCGAGTCTGGACCAGACAATCCAGTGATCAGCATTATGAGCATCGATCTACGCAATTGGGATACGATTACATATGTGAACCAAATCAGCGAGCCTGACCACCCAATCCCGTTAGTCGCCTCTTTAGACAAGCATGGGTTACTGAAGATCAATTGTAACCCGGATCTTCACGGGTTGGGTTACGAAAGAGCGTTTCTGTAACGCGTTACACAGCGTCTATATAAGGGATATAATAGTACGATGTGTCTGGAAGTGTTTTCTTACCTGTTTCTTGATACAATTTAAAACAAGAAATTTCTTTAAACCCTTAAGTATATTGTTTCAAAGAATTGTTCATGTTTTTACGTGTTTTCAACACCAGTGAGAGAGTGCATGACTACCTTTCAATGTCTTGTACCAATGTACTGAAGTTGCACCAAGAGACTCTGTGTCCGAAACCCTTCCCTCCACCCAGTGACACACTGTTGCTATCAGTACTTGTCACCGAGGGGCACTCAGGCTACAGATGTGTGTGTGACACAGGAACCTGGTCAGTCGGTCGTCCGCGGGAAATCGTTGTAAATGTGCACTTCCCTCATCTGGCCGACGTATTGTGCACCTCAACACTGATGCTATCATGCTGTAATGAACGCTCGTATTCCTCGGATGATATGTATAAGCGAAACCTCATCAATCTAGACTGCTGTTCATAACGGCCAATGTTATTCCTCGGACGTGGATGTAGTATATAGCGAAACCTCGTTAATCTGGACTGATGTTCATAATGACCACTGTTATTCCTCGGACGTGGATGTAGTATATAGCGAAACCTCGTTAATCTGGACTGATGTTCATAATGACCACTGTTATCCCCTGGACGTGGATGTAGTATATAGCGAAACCTCGTTAATCTGGACTGATGTTCATAATGACCACTGTTATCCCCTGGACGTGGGTGTAGTATATAGCGAAACCTCGTTAATCTGGACTGATGTTCATAATGACCACTGTTATCCCCTGGACGTGGGTGTAGTATATAGCGAAACCTCGTTAATCTGGACTTATGTTCATAATGGCCACTGTTTTCCGCTGGACGTTGATGTAGTATATAGCGAAACCTCGTTAATATTCGTACACAGTGATCTTATTTCTCGGAGGTGAATCATCGTAGGTGTTCTTAAAAAGTGAAACCGCGTTAATCTGGAATGCAGTTAATAATGAAGGCTATTATTTCTCCGAGATGGATCGTCGTGAATAACATATATAGAGAAACGAAACCTCGTTCACCTTAACCCCTCTGCATATTATTCCGAACTTGATCATTGAGGATGTCCATTACAGTGACATCACATTATCTGGACCTCTGTAATCAAGCAACATCTGAACGTTCACAGTTGGGAATATATCACACATAAGCAAATCAATCGTCACCACTCGCTTCCTTCCATAACCTGTAACCATTCCGGAACGAATAACAACTGATCGGAAAATCTTTAGTTAAGAGATGTTTTGTCAGCAGTCAGCAGCATGGCACACAACTATGGTTGCAATGACGCTGTATTAGGTAAACCGGTTTGATCACGTGAGTATGAGTCACGTGACAGATTATCCAGACCCACCAGACTAGTAGTATACAGACTATCCTTTGTGAGTGTCCGATCTCTATCTTAATCGAGTTTTTGACGACCATGGTACATCCTGAAAATCCCGGCGCTGAGCCACAAGGATACACTGTTTATCATTAGGATGTACTTTCAAAATCGAACCATTATCAATGAGTGGGCTACTTTGAACATAAGTTCAGTCACATCGCGATGTGTCACGGTGAAAAGGAAGCCCGAATTCATGTAAGTCTTCGATATATTTCACTCTAAGCATCTTAATCAGGGAGAATATAGTGATATATCCTGCCGCGAAGATTCTATGGAAGAATATAGATCACCAACGACGAAGTGGGTGGTTGCTCATTCTTTCAACCTCTGGTTATACAGCCAAATCGATGTTCAGGTCGTCGTGACATAGCTGGGAGGCAGCTAGCTGCTTGTGGCGTAAAACAACATTCATACTGACTTTATGTTACGGTAAAAAGTCGATAAGCTTGTATTCAATGTATGTCGAATGAAGCTATGTCAGAAAACGACCCTGGTGCCCTGACCACGTGGCATATGTAGGTCGACATGTAACAATTGTGGTCTTATTTACTTGTTAATAAAGAGTGGGAAAAACAAAACAAAAACAAAACAACTTTCACTCATGAATCACCACTGGATGTATTTCATGGTTTACCAGGTAGAATACTAAAACAAGCATTCCATATTTCTCTCAGAACTTCTACAAAAGCACTTGACGTCTTCAATCCTGCCACCAACATCTACTTGCTGTCCCTAAATAGAATCCTAAATCCTTTGGATTCTGTTCCTTTGCGACAGCAGCAACCATTAGATGGAATAGCCTGCCCAAATATATCACATCAGCAACGCACAATATCTTAAAGAAAAATCTGAAAACACATCTGTTTTGAAACTGTTAGAAATTGAAGATAACAGATATTCGGACATTTCACATACATGGACTCTGTTGTACGTGCTAAATGTACCTATTATTATTGTTATTTCCCACACAAGTAATTGTATCGGATAATTTTTTAAAATCTGTTTACATAGTTTTCTTTCCAACAACCTTTGACCTCTAATATATTCATCACCTCAAATAAACAACGACATCAACAAAGAAGAAACAGAAACAAAACAAAAACAACAAAACACACACTACATTTAATAAACATTTCAAGTTGGACATGGTGTTCATTACGGACGTAGAACATTGCATTTGATGTTTTAGGCATTGCAAGAGCTGACAGTTGTGGAGAGTGCTCGGAATAGAGGATGGAGGACTTGAACACTGTCAGGCAGGATGGCAGCGAATTAGCTCGGTCTACCAAATCCCCCTTCCCTCAACCCTTCTTGTAAGAGGCGGAATGCATCCTTCAGACGCTGGTGACGTCATGCAAATGCTTCCCTGAGTCTGGTTTGCTTTCTTTAAATTAAAAAGAAATTGAAAACAACAAATGTCATGTATAATTAAACGTGTGCTTGCCTCAAGCATACACGTTGCTTTGTTTTGATTGAACAGATTAGTGACTCGGTTGCAGAGCTCTGTGTTGAAGCTATATGACGTCACAGGGGCTTGTAACGCTAAAACAGAAACCACAAAATATATGGTTAAAACTTGTACGGCAAAATTAGCAGCTATAAGTTGCTAAGAAAACATACATCTTTATGGATAACAAACTTTTTATTGCACACAACATCGTAGTGGGGTATATTCTTACATCGTCGGGTGTAATTTTGTAAAAAGATACATAATATTTTTAGAAAAAAATACGTTGTTGTCCATAAAGTTGTGTCTCCTAATTTACCGCGAAATTCTAGACTGCCAATTACAAGATACTAGGATTAATTCATGGATGTACAGTAGTGATCATATATCTTGTAGTTGCTACTTTTTGCCTTAAAAGCCACTGTGATGACGTTTGGGGACAAGAATTTGCTTAATACCTTGACCCTTGATCCATGCGGAATCGAACCAGACTCTGCTCTATGAGTAAAGACTTGACCCACAAGGCTAACCCACCGCTGTTTTAATATTAAGTGTGTCCTTTAGGTTTCTGCGCCAAGACAGTGACACAATAATATTTTTGTGTCATTTAGTGTACATTGTGTTATTGTTTTGGAAGCAGTTGCATCCCAGACACGTTTTTTTAAAAGAAATTTCATTCGTCTGGACTCGGAAACAGACAACGGTTTCGACATAGCCTCGCTCCAAGGCTGCACTGAACGAGAGATCTCTGGATGTAAAGTAATTTTATCTTTTAACGAGGTAAGTCGAGATAAGCGGACGTCGGTTTGTTTGGCTCTGTATATCAGGGATATACATCGGTATATACTGTTTATTTATATACTTTATAAATTTCCATTTAATCTTATGATTATTGCCTTAAAACCTTGTCCAAGTCTAATCTCGACTGCAGAAAGGCCACAGCTTCAACCCTCTCCAATCTCCTCACCTCTTCATCATGTGGGACATGTAACAATGTCGTGCCTCCACCACAAGCGTGTAGGGATGGGTCCTCACCAACCCGCCATCTCTATTCCTAGTTCGGACAAGGGGAAAGGTCTGGGTGTGGCTTCGTTGCGTTATAACGAGGATTGATACACGCATCGGGATGCCACCACCGGTGACAGACAACGGTCGCAGTATCCAGGTGCGACTGTCACGTGGTCACATGTTTATATTTAGGCGATAATTCAAGTGATGTTGAAAGTATTGTCACTTGAGCTATTATTAGAGTCGTGTCAAAGATGCCTGCACTAAATACACCTGGGTTACAATAGTAGTTGTGCTCGCCCATTGTTTTCAACTTGCCATTAATTCACGTTTATGACTGCATTTAAATGCCGCTGCATACTTAACCAAACGCTCCTCTAGACATATGGCGGTTTTCACAGCATGCCTGAGGTCGGGGACAGAATGTTCATCGTACTCAAAATTATTTGACGCCATTTATTAGATTCTCTACAATCGATAGCGCAATGTGCATGGACCTTGTCAAGTGTGCAATAAAGTTGACAATACTTCAAGGTTTAAATGCCTCCAATTATAACACAGACAAGCCTCGATGTAACGCTGCAGAAGAATTCACCCACCTTCGACAAGCATGGATTTCATGTTTCCCGTCAGACTACCCCTATATTATCTGTGGAATCAGGTAATTTTGGGGCAGATGTGTCTTTATTTACATCCCAACAAAACAAAGCACACTGGTTGCCATGGAACCCTTAAGGCAGAGAGGCATGTGGCTCATTTGTTCAAAGATGTCAACAGAAAAACGGGTAGTTCAGCTGTTAAAGCGCCAGTAGTCACACCAAAGACCTTGTTCGATTCCGTAAAGTCTTACTGTACATGAAAGCAATGGTTCTCTCACCACCAAGCCTTCCTGTCATGCAATAGTCCCAAACGAAGCAAGGTGTGATTTCAATAGGTAAATATACCGTTTGTTCCGGTTTTATCTATCAAAATCATTATATGTTGTCAAATCCGGGATTCGAACCCACACTCTCAGAGTTAATCACCTAATCGCTAGCACACAAAGTCAGCCATCTAACCCACTCAGCCCCGCGGTGCCTGACTCTGAGAGTGTTGGTTCGAATCCCGGATGGGACAATCCAACAAAGTACTAGAATGTGTACTTCACTGACAAAGTGTAATAACGAATATAACGCGCGTTACAACAGAGGGCCTAACATTAATACAGCACCTCATGACTCCACACATCCTGTGGTGCACTATCGCTAAGTCTCTGAAAACAGAGAATTCTTAAAGAAGCAATATAAATAAACTCCAGATTAATTGAAAGGGAGCCCCAGTGAGGTTAGAGAGTTAGGAAATCTAGACTTGCTTCATTTAGATTTTGGCATTTCAGCGGGACTGGCTTATAATATGGTTCAGAGATTGTGAGACAGGCTATGGTGCACCGTGTGTTTATAAAACCTGCTTCCCTGCGATGCTCGTCCTATAGCAATGTTGAAGGCATCTGAGATCTAGCTACGTGATTACATATTAAGTAGACTCTGTCATAGCAGTGTAGGCGGCGATGCTGCTGAATGCCAGATCGTAGACGTGGAAGCAGCACCGCCACTTGAGGTTTACGGAACGCTAGTAGATGTCTACCTGTAGAACTTGAGAAAGTCAGAGAGACGTGTTTCCATGTAACATGACCGTATCATCAGTATCGGGATTGTGACGCAGGATGTGAGAAGGCCGGTTCTCGTGTAGTTGGTCTCAAGAAGGCCGGTTCTCGTGTAGTTGGTCTCAAGAAGGCCGGTTCTCGTGTAGTTGGTCTAACGCTGGTTTCTAGAAAGCAGGTGCAATTCTAGTAAGAAAGTTGTTTCCGTACTTCTTCACCTGAGGCTAGTCTCATCACTGTACATTTCTGGTGTGCCCGCCATGATATTGTTGCAATATTGCTTAAAGCGGCGTAAAACAAAACTCACTCACTGTGATGACATCCGATCGCATACAAGCTCGGTGTGTTCATAATCAGTACTTGTTATTGCTCTGCACGGAGCACGGCATTAAGGAACTAATACGACAACTGATAGGTTTGGGGATAGTATACGGGATATCGAAGTGAGCAGGCTCTATAACAACGACATTACTTGCAACAACATACACACGCACACACACGTGAATGCACGTTGCTCTATTAATGTAAATGTTATCAACGCGACGTTTAACACTGTTTCATCTCACCTTACAACCAAGATCACGGATCAACACAAGCACTTTTGTTATATATTGTTGGCATTCTCAGATCAGATACCAGCAGTCACATCCTCCCTACCTCCCTTATGAAGGCTGCAGATCATCAGCTGTTTGCTCATAACCCGAGAGCTGTGAATGTCCATGCTTTCCACATCTGCCCGGGGCGCAGGGGTAGCCTCGAGTTCGCTCGTCACGCCGAAGACCCGGGTTCGAGTCCCCACATGGGTGCAATGTGTGAAGCCCATTTCTGGTGTCCCCCGCCGTGATATTGCTGGAATATTGCTAAAAGCGACGTAAAACCATACTCACTCACTATTCTTAGCAGCGCAAAGCATGGGTCTCTCTACCACGCCAGTAAATATTGCATGTCATCATAAAGGGCCTTTGGGATACCTCTTATGTCACACCTATAAAAGCCGAATGTCAAAATACGAAGCTAGTCAGGTTCCTCTCTGCCATACTTATAAAGGTCGCATTTCATGTAAAGATTTTAAGCTTTTTCTCGTATGTTGGACCTTATACCCCATTTCGTACTTGGAAACTTCTCGTGTTTATGTTAGGCACAATTGAAGGCAACAACGTCATCATATAAAGAGGCTTTCGGGGACTTCCTATGTTAAACATCCAAATACTGCAATGTCAAACAGCTCCAGGACGCCTCCATTCCATGTATTTGAAGATGTTTCGCCACATGTAGGAACACTCCGTTGATGGTAATATTTAAACCGACATTTTGCCCCAGAAATAAATCAATCTTATTTAAAATCTTTAAAAATATATTAATCTACCAAAAATCCCAAATGAAGCCCAGTAAGTCCTTAATTTTATTGAACTAAGGCAATCTAGACTTGCCAAATCATTCTGGACTTGAGTAGGACTCCTATTTTATATATTCTTTTGGGTCTGGGGCACAGACATATCAACATGGAGCTTCAGGCCATGACGATAAAACCACTGAGCAATATAAAAACCACCCTTCCTACAGTTTATTTTTATGTTTAGTAATTGCTTTCAAATGACTCACATTTGCCTTTTATCCGTTTTAACCAATAATAGAATGCGTTGACCGGCTTGTTGAAAACAAGGTATATACAATGAGTTGATACCAGTATATTGAACGCCGCCCCAGCGTGTTGATATACAGAGGCAACCTGTCCCACATGTCAACGGCGTGTCCCGGCACCACATGGACACACTATATATAGACAGGGAGGGTCAGGTATGGAACGAGTAGGACATGATTACTCTTCGGAATCTAAATATGGAGAGGTTCCTTTACGGTCTGACCTCCAGACACGGTGTCAGGGGGGCGTCTCAAAGGTTCCAAAGACCTTTTCGTACATAGGCACCGTTAACTCTCGATAATTGTTGCAACGACTTTCCAGTATTGGTAAACATACGCTCCCCCATTTAAATGAACAAATAAAGAGAGATCGTAAAGTCACCATGTCGATCTGCAATAGTTAGGAACTCACGTGACAAAAAGTATTGGACGTATTTTTTCAGTACTAATTACATCAGGAGACGGCCGGTCTCCCAGATGATACATGTTTCAAGGGTGCCACTGTATTGTGTAACGTTACTCTTGTATTAATAGTGATGACATTTATCAACCGATGATTTCACCAGCAGCATATGGCGATGCATGCACATGACTTGCATTTAGCATCATATCAATGTCACCCATCAGTTTGATTCCCACAGTGAACCAGCCGGCTGTACCCTCTACTGGAAATCTTGTTTATTCGAGGTGTAATGAACATTGGCGGATCCAGAGGGGGTGGGGGTGGGTCAGGGGTTCGAACCCCAACACCACCCACTTGAAATTGACTTAAGACCACATTGAAGATTTTGTTTGCGTTGGCGGAGCCAATGGGGGGTTCAGGGGGTTATTGATTATTGTCCATAGGTTTAAAAATACCCCAGTTCATAAAAATCGTATGTGTACTTGTGAAAATATCACTTCACGACTGTATATGTTATATTATCACCCAAGGGCATTGTCGCGGGCAATTGCGCAGATTGATGCTCACGCTGTTGATCACTGGATTGTCTGGTCTAGACTCGATTATTTACAGACCGCCACCATATAGCTGGAATATTGCTGAGTGTGGTGTAAAACTCAACTCACTCACTCATTGTTGTCGGCAGTAAAACCTTATAGTGACGTACATTTGGAATGACGTCGTATTAGAACCGACGTCATAGGCTTATAATTTCTGATGCCATTCGTCAATAGTGATTTTCAAAGTCGTGAATAGTGCATTTTAAAATGAAAGCTCAAAATGATACATAAGTAATAAGATCGGGAAATTCCTGATTTTTGACACTTGTTTCCTAAAATCAGTATATCAAAGAAGTATAATATTCTGTGTAGTACATTATCTGATAATTTCATGACCGGACTATAGTGGTCATCAGTTGGTCATTTGGACGCTGGTACCAGTGTGCAATTATTCAAAACATCTGTCCTATTCCAGCGGCACTTTACGTGGGTTAGAAACTTCTACTCTTCAAGCCACAGCAGAAATGCAACAGTGCACTGAACAAAACGAACACATTTTTTCAAATCAATATTGAGATCTTTTACTGCAGCCTTTGATTTACTGCTCTCTCAAATTGAAAACTGTGTTGTGTGGAAGGAGAGAATTTTTATATGTGTGGGGAATTTATGGGAAGTTAGATTGTACAGTAGTACAGATCATTACCTAGGAAAGATTTTAGCGGGGGATATCACAAGACAGAACTGTGTGTCTCCATCAGGATGATTGAATTAATTGTGCAAACACAAAATGTAAACTCAGTCAACTTTATCTAAATCAGAATAGGTAAACTACATATTTGGACTGGTGAAGACAATGTAATGAAACCTTCAAACTTCAGCGTGGACCTGCAGAGTAATGGCTGTCGGTATGATCACTTCTGTATGGGTGTGATGACTTCTGTATGGGGTGATCACTTCTGTATGGGTGTGATGACAGGCCAGATGCTGCAGCTCATAAACAGCATCACTTCCACCATGGCTGAAGACAGATTTACTGCCCAACTCCATCCTGGGTAGAATTGGTTACTATAGCTTATGTTTGTGGTAAGAGGCAGTTAGAATTGGTTTACTGCAATCCATGCTATTGGTTACAGGGGGGTAGAATTGGTTTACTGCAACCCATGCTATTGGTTACATGGGGTTAGAATTGGTTTACTGCAATCCATGCTATTGGTTACAGGGGGTTAGAATTGGTTTACTGCAATCCATGCTATTGGTTACAGAGAGGTTAGAATTGGTTTACTGCAACCCATGCTATCGGTTACAGGGGGTTAGAATTGGTTTACTGCAACCCATGCTATTGGTTACAGGGAGGTTAGAATTGATTTACTGCAATCCATGCTATTGGTTACAGGGGGTTAGAATTGGTTTACTGCAATCCATGCTATTGGTTACAGGGGGTTAGAATTGGTTTACTGCAAATCCATGCTATTGGGGTTGGTTACATGCTATTGGTTACAGGTTAGAATTGGTTTACTGCAATCCATGCTATTGGTTACAGGGGGTTAGAATTGGTTTACTGCAATCCATGCTATTGGTTACAGGGGGTTAGAATTGGTTTACTGCAATCCATGCTATTGGTTACAGGGGGTTAGAATTGGTTTACTGCAATCCATGCTATTGGTTACATGGGGTTAGAATTAGTTTACTGCAATCCATGATGTTGGTTACATGGGGTTAGAAT